GCTTGACCTTGTTGGCGCCTCTGCAGAGATAACAGCAGCACCTGGCTGGGCATCTTCCTCCCCCCTTCTCCTTACTTCTATGGCAGGACCAAGCAAGCAGGCCCCTAATTAACTCTTTAAACATTTAACTGTCAAGTATGCATTGCTAGTCTACATTTAATTAAGTTTTAATTTCTAGCTTGCGCAGATCCTGACATGCCGCCCTCCAACAAGACGAATGTCTTCACATTCTGAACAGGATCTGAAAAGAAAAACAAAATATACATATACAATGACAGTTTGCATAATATTTCAAACATTATTACTTAGGTTTGTTTGGATATTGTGGGGGACAATGAATGCCCACTTCCTTGGGAAGACTTTTATTAGCCCAATCTAGGGCATTATCTTTGATATCCTGGGTCTAACCAGAAAATTAGAATTTATCTAAAAGCGGGGGGGATGCCATGACCCATTCAAATAATAAATCTGTACAACCCTTTCTTGATGTTATTGCAGTTAGGGCTGGGCAGCAAATAAATATACCCCTTACTAAAAGATGTGTAACTTTCAACATCCTTTCTTGACTACACTTTATTTTTACCAATGCTACTAGTAGACTAGTAGGCCTGGCGCGATATGGTTCATGGGGTCACGAAGAGTCGGACATGTCTTAACGACTGAACAACAACAACTAGTAGACTGGTCACCTAGGTTTTCTCTCACCAGCCTGGAAAAACATTTCCATTTGGAAAGAAAAGGAAAGACCAGATTGCAAACACGAACTTCACTAATACATAAACGACTATGGACAGTTCAGAGACGTTTTGGCATGAAATTGTCTATGAATCGTTGCAATGCTATGATTGGCAAGTAGCTTTTGACAGATGACCAGACCCACCAGTTTGGCCATCTCTGAAAAGTTGCTCCCAATGAGTAAGTTTTGAGGGGTTCCCAACACAAGCCTTAAAAACCCTCTCTCTGGGGGATTATGATTCACCATTTCAGAAGACCTGACCTAGAGACACACCTTCCTTCACTCTCAGTGGAATTACAGAGGTACCCTCTGGTTTTTAACCAGCTCATCAGATGCTTTAGGAGCACACTAAAATGAGGGATTTCTTGCAAAGCTATTTTTGATTCTTTCCCTATGAGTGGCGGGAGGACTGAAATACAACTTTCTGTACTCCTGTGATACATTTGCATGCAAGATCTAATTGAAAGCAATTCTGAGATAGATGATCCCAGATGAAAGAGAAAACATGCCAATGTGAAATTTCCTTATATAAGTTGGGGCAGGATTGAGTTTTGAAGACACACTTTGTATCCTTATGAATTTATGGAACACTCCTGAAATTTCCAGAGAATGTGTATCTCTAATATACTTTGGTTTTGTCAACACAGTAGACCTTGTTGGTTGCAAATCAATACAAGTAACCACATTCTCCTTAGCAGACCTAGAACACAACTGCTTTAACTTGGGCAGGCCACGGTGATCACCCTAAAACTGTGTGAACTGGTTTCCTTTGCAGGAGATTCTGCAACAGCTCTGATTGCAGAACTACTCTGCAATAACTCTGATTAAAGTTCTATCAACAATGTATGCAGATTGCATTCTTACGAAATCCACAGCGCTGGAGCTTGGAAACACGCTACGATGGAAACACTCTGCCAGGCTTCATCCCAGTAACAATGCTGGCAAGAGCTGACTCAACCAGGTGGCTTTGCCTGTCTAAATCTAATGTTCTGAGGCCTATGGCCTTCCATCCAATATGGCTGATCCTGCCTTTGTTTCAGTCAACAGAGCAGTGCAACATCCGGCAGAAGCCAGAATGAGGTGCACCTTCTGACGTCATTGCACAAATGGCGTAAATTATACGGCTTGCATTGCACAATGATGTCATATGGGCCACTTGCCTCCCCTACCCCCCCACCCCCACCCTCTGGATACCCCTGACAGCATTGGATTTTATTTATTTAATTTGTTTGTCTATCAAATTTCTCCCCCCCCCCCCCCCCCCCCCCCCCC